ACTGCACTGGGGTATATCAGTTGTACTGTACTGGGGTATATCAGTGTATACTGTCCCGGGGTATATCAGTGTCTAAGGTTTTGGAGTAGGTTTGTAGCTCGGGTTGTGGGTGTTGAGGTTGGTTGGCTCGCCGAGCTGGTTTGTTGTTCCGCAGACGTTTCGTTACCGTGCTGGGTAACATCCTCAGTGCAGCCTCTGATGAAGCGTCAGTGTATTTACCCACCTGGTTTTTAAACTCTGGGGTCCGTTGAGATGGATTGCCTCATGAAGGAAAACCGGAAGTGAGGTAATCCATCTCAATGGACCCCAGAGTTTAAAAACCAGGCGGGAAAACACACCGACACTTCATCAGAGGCTGCACTGAGGATATATCAGTGTGTACTGTACTGGGGTATATCAGTGTGTACAGGTACCAGAGTATATCAGTACATACAGGCACTAGGGTATACTTGGGATCAAGTATGTTGAACACTGAAATCGATTGACCTTTGGACTCAACAGGAAGTGGGTGTCTGGGTTGGTATTGGGGTGGTGTGCGGTTCTTGATGTAGGAGATCAGCCACGATCTCAGGGAGTGGATTGTAGGCTCGAGGGGTTGAATGGCCTCTTCCTGTTCCTATTGTACTCACCCTGTCCCTGTACCCGCTCCTCGGGGCTGGTTATTTACTCTGTTGTTTGCAGCCCATGCAATTCACCATTGGGGACCTATCTTTACTCGAAGTTTTGAAGATTGGGAAGCAGGGGAACTTCTACCGAGCAAAAATCACCCGGGGCAACTGCAAAGGCCATCGGCTGGTGACCTGCAAGCTGACCATGAGGAGTGAGTAATTGGAAATGGGGCTGTACTTAGAAACATAGAAGATAGGAGCAGGAGGAGGCTATTCGGCCCTTCGAGCCTGCTCCACCATTCTTCATGATCATGGCTGATTGTCCAACTCAATAGCCCAATCCTGCTTTCTCCCCATAACCTTTGATCCCATTTGCCCCAAGTGCTATATCTCGTCGCATCTTGAATACATTCAATGTTTTGGCATCAACTACTTCCTGTGGTAATGAATCCCACAGGCTCACCACTCTCTGGGTGAGGAAATATCTCCTCATCTCCTCGTACTGTGACCCCTGGTTCTGAACACACCCACCACCGGGAACATCCTCCCTGCATCTACCTTGTCCAGCCCTGTTAGAATTTTATAAATCTCTGTGAGATCCCCCCCTCATTTGTCTGAACTCCAGCAAAAATAATCCCAACCTAGTCAATCTCTCCTCATACATCAGACCCGCCATTCCCGGAATCAGCCTGGTAAACCTTCACTGCACTCCCTCGAGAGCAAGAGCATCCTTCCTCAGAAAAGGAGACCAGAACTGCACACAATATTCTAGGTGTGGTCTCACTAAGGCCCTGTATAACTGCAACAACACATCCCTGCTCCTGCACTCGAAAGCTCTCGTAATGAAGGCCAACATACCATTTGCCTTCTCTACCGCCTGCTGCACCTACACGCTTACCTTCAGCGATTGGTGCACAAGGACACTCAGGTCCCGCTGCATACTCCCCTCTCCTAATTTACAGCCATTCAGGTAGTAATCGGCTGCCTTGTTTTTGCTTCCAAAGTGAATAACCTCACATTTATCCAAATTATAAGTGATGATCCAGTCTGAGTTACAATGTGCCACTGTGGGTCCATCAGGCTGGGGAACTCTAACCTTTTCAATTGTCTCTGGCAGGTGTATCCCAGCATAAGCTGCAGGTGGAGGTGGGCATCATGAACAAATTGGGCTATCACAAGAATATCATTCAGCTCCTAGACTGGAACATCTCACAGGGTAAATCAGTCTGTATGGGGTTGAGGGGATGTGGATCTGTGTAGGGGTGTGGGGTGGGCGTATGTGTACAGGAAGTGGGTGCGTGTGTATGTTGGGAGAGTGTGTAGAGGTGTGTGTGTGTATGTGGGGGGTGAATGGAGGATGGGTGGGGATGTGCAGGGGTGGTGTTTGTGTGTGTGGGTGGTGAGTGAGTGTGTGTGGGGGTGGGTGGGTGAGGGTGTGTGGGTGGTGTTGGGAGTGGATGTGGGAGGGCAGGGTGTGAGTTTGAGGGTTGGGTGACAGTATGTGGGTGGGTGTGTCCATGACGGGGGTAGGTGAGGGTTTGTGTGGGGGGTTCCAGGTGGTGGGCAGTACTGTGTCACTCTGACCCAGTACCCAGTCTGTTACAGAGCCCTATATCCCTCTGACCCAGTACCCGGTCTGTTACAGAGCTCTATATCCCTCTGACCCAGTACCCGGTCTGTTACAGAGCATTATATCCCACACTGACCCAGTACCCGGTTTGTTACAGAGCCCCATATCCCACACTGACCCAGTACCCGGTCTGTTACAGAGCACTATATCCCACACTGACCCAGTACCCAGTCTGTTACAGAGCACTATATCCCTCTGACCCAGTACCCGGTCTGTTACAGAGCCCTATATCACTCTCTGACCCAGTACCCGGTCTGTTACAGAGCTCTATATTCCTCTGACCCAGTACCCATCTGTTACAGAGCACTATATCCCACACTGACCCAGTGCCCGGTCTGTTACAGAGCCCTACGTTCTGATAATGGAGCATGTGGGAAACTGGAACCTGAAAACCTTTTTACAGAATAACAAGCCCCAGCTGACCAGCAGTAAGAACCTACAAACCCAGCTGACATTAGCAGCCTATTTCATTTCACTGGGGATGGAACACATCGCGTCAAGAAAGGTAAATGCTCGGTTTCGTACGGCTCAGCTTGGGACAGCTTGACTCAGTACAGTTCAGCCCTGTACAGCCTGGTTTGGTATGGCCAAGATCGAATCAGCTCGGTTCAGTTCTGGTCAGTGCCGTTCAGTACGGCTCAGTTCAGTTTGGGTCGGTTCAGCACGGCTCAGGGCAGCTTGGTTCGGTATGGCTTGGTGCGGCTCATTATGGTTCAGCGTGGCTCAGTTCAGTACAGCT